GAATAATTACAGATTTACCACTGAGTTCATTTTGCAAATTACTCTCAAATTTTCTAAAGAAGATAAAAATCTCCAAAAATAAAGGTTGCTCAACTTTTCAAACTCTATAACTTTGCTTCAAGGAATATTTTTAAATTCTGCCTCCATTTTAAATTTTGAATTTGGGGTGCATTTGAGCATTTGAATCATTTCAAAATTACTCCAAACTTTATACGTAAACTTTAAAAACTTTGAATACCAAAGTTGATCCTTATAAAATAAGCTTCAACTTTGCTTTTTGTCACACCCCCAAATTCCAAATGGATTTTGAAATATACAAAAGGGGCAAAAAGGACTTTTATAATTTGAAGTTAAATTCAAATTTAATTTGTTTACCTTTTGACTTAACTTTGATTTTTGGCCAGTAACATGGCCCATTAGGGTTATTTGAGTCAATTAACACATGGTCTCACATGATCACATGAATTTTGACTCTTGTGGTCATGATCTTTATTTAGGGTTTTGAATCACATCACATAAAATAACAACATTATGAAATAAAGCTTATTTAGTGAATGCATTCAACATTTTCTACTTTATGAATGCTTTGCAATGCATATGATGACATGTCAAATTTTAATGATAGGTCAAAACACCAGAGGTGTTACAGCTGTCACCGTTGAATTGATTGCAAGATGAAATTTGGCACTGAACTTGCTATTTCGGCTAGTATGTTTTGAATAGGTTATCAACCTGAAGTAATTACAGTAGTCAGAAAAATGAGTATTTCGTCCTTGTGGCTTTGCTTTCTTAAATGAATCTACTCCTATGTTATAATGCGTGATTTTGGTAACCATAGTTGGTGAACTCTTCCTAGTGATTAGGCTTTTTAGCATGCTCTTTATTGTCAATTGTACTGTTAATCATAGCATTTTGAGCAGTCAAGGTCCAAAAACGATGGGAGTTGATTCTGAAGTTTCAGCTGCCTAATAAAAGATTTTCACTGGACAAGTGCCCATCCAGCGTCCAGTCAAATCCAATTGATTAATTAAATCTTGAAGCAATTAAATTTGTGACTTCTTCAAAGTTTTGTTTGCTAGCATAAAAACACAGTGAGGGAAGTGGTGGAGACTTAGGGAAATGCAATTCCTGTAAAACAATTCACCTATGTGTTCAATTCCTTACAAATAATTCATTATGGCCTGTTCATTCCTGTAAAAGAATTCATTTATGATATGTTGTGATGTCCAGATGCCACGTCCATTTAATCCAAAAGGATATAAAGAGGCCACTACAGCTAATGTTATTGAAGGTTCTAACTTTGAATCTTGAATTTGGTGAGACTAAAATTGTGCATGGTTTTCTTATTTGGATCTTGTTCCAAGTGTTTGAGGGGGTTTTTTATGCTAGGTTGTAAGCTCTGTTGTTTCAAACCTGCCTTTTCCTTACCTTGCAAGGAATGGCAGATCAGACCACAGGAAAAAGAATATTCTTTGGAAAAATATCATCAGTCATTTTATGTTACTTCTGATACGAACTTCTTAGCTACCTTGGGATCTCCATGATCTTTGAGAGGTTTTCTATGGAGTATGAGATATTTTACAATTTGTGCTACTTGAGTGTCAGTATGTTGAGCTATTTGCTAAAGCTGCTTCAATGAATTACCTCCATTTTCAGTAATGAGCAGCTTTACGAACATTGTACACAATCCATCTGCTTGTTGTAAATGTTGAGGATTGAAGAATTTCAGATTGAGCAGGAAACTCAATGTGATTATGTACTTAGTGGATGTTAAAGACTACATCATCAAGTTTTCAAGTGTGACCCATCAATACTATAAATAAATGATTTGCCCAAATGCAATCACTATAAATAAATGGTTTGCCTAAATGCAATCGTCAACAATTCTAAATGTGATTTAGTCATTGTAGTTTATTTCTGATACATTTCACTGGTGCAAAGCAGCATGTTAAATGTGTGATTGCCTTAACTTTTGTAGCTGGTGGCCATTTATCTTGAGCTAGGATTGTTTGCATGCAATTCAATGTGATTATACCATTAGCCGTAGGTGGATGAATGAATTATATATACAGGGACACTATTTACTTGCTGCTTGTATATCATTTAAGTGAAAGTGAACTGATTATTGGCTTGTTGTATTTTGCAGATGAGGTTGTCTGGAAAGGGAGGTGTTGGAAAGAGCACATTCTCAGCCCAACTCTCTGTAAGAAGGTCGGTGTCCCTGTCCTAGATGTTGTGGAGAACATGAGTGGCCTTAGGTAGCCGCTTTCAGATCTCAGATTAATCAAGTCAAATGAGGCGGGCGAGACAGATGCGACAGAGTGGGCCCTGAACTACGTCAAGGAGAAAGCTATATTATATTTTCGCTGGCCAATTGAACATTATATTAGAGGGTACAGGACAGATATGCGAGCCTAATCACCACAGAAGACCCGGTATTATGAGTAGAAGTGAAATGAAGGAAAGTCAGAGGAAACTCATTGGACAACTGGTCACTGGTGGAGAGACAATGATGTGTTGCTTCTTCTAGTTGCCTTGCGCACAAGCAACTCGCGTTTTGTTATTTGAAAAACAACTCGAGAGTTTGCAGTTGCAGCGTGCCCATTATTGACCAAATCCAAGCACGGCCGTCGTCCTCGTCGTTCCTAGCTTGCTTTTCCCATCCTAAGGCGCCCCTCAATACAAGACGACGCCGCGGTGGCGCAGCAGCAGTTGCCCGCCGGCTGTCAACGCCTGATAAGAGCTTCCACGATACTTAATTCCCCTCAAGCAGGACCTGCACCGCCTGGGCCTGCTCTGCTTCATCCTGGTACAGCATCCGCATCGGCTTAGCAGTGTCGTGCTTTGCCGGGGGCCGGTCCTGCACCGGTCCATGTTTCTTTTGTTCACTTTGCCGCAGCGAGCTCAAATATATGCACTACAGTACGTAGCTCTTTCTCTCCGTGCTTGAATCTTGCAAAGCTTTTGTGGGCTAACAATCTGCCAAAGTGCTGCTTAATCCTGTCATAAGTCTAGCTCGATTTGCTTCTATTGCTAATTTCGTAATTGCTGGAGAGTGTTTGGGTTACCATTCTTTTCCTTTCAAAAAATGAAGAGATTACCTGCCTCTTTCAGAGATTTGTTACCTTAATGAGTTGTTTCTCCTATATCTGTTGATCTTATTTTCACGTCTTCCACAATTTTTTTTCGCGACCGTGCTGAAGCACGTTTTTCATTAAGGATAACGTGTTCCACAATTCAATCCAGCAAAAATACATTAGGGCTTTGCTGATTCATCAATTGTTAATGTCAGATCCGCCGAAGTGGACAAGTGAGTACTAGCTACCAGGTCGGCTAAAAAGAAAAACCTGTTCTTTTCTGAAAGCAAACAGATTAGTGTTGCCATAAACTCAAGAAGCAACCAGGTCCTCATCAACCTGATATGCACACTTATATATGTTTGGAGTTACTCGACCAAATTAACATGAGTATATGGCTCTGCAGATTAACGCAGGAAGCAAACCATGTGCTGCACGCTTGTTTATACCCTTTTTTGCCAGTTGTATTTCTTTGTACGAGATATACGTATAGTACATTTATTTTATTTGATTCGTCGTCCTTATCGAACTAGGGTTTTTGTTATATTAGGGTTCTGTGTCTCTGAGCCCCTGGATGGGAGGGTACAATTTTATACTACGATCGATAGGAGTACTTAATTTCTTGAAGATAGCCTCAGATGCCCTTGTGCCTATTGTGTAGTACGGCCTGTTTGGTTTCTACGTACGCTTCTAAAATTCCTGTCACATCGAATGTTTAAACATATACATGGAGTACTAAATATAAACTAATTATGAAACTAATTACACAACTTGCAACTAATTTGCGAGACGAATCTTTTAAGCCTAATTAGTTTATGATTTGACAACGTGGTGCTACAGTAACATGTGCTAATGACAGATTAATTAGGCTTAAAAAATCATCTCGTAAATTAGCCCCATCTATGTAATTGGTTTTGTAATTAATCTATATTTAATGCTCTTTATTAGTATCTAAATATTTGATGTGACATAAATTTTAGGAGCGACTAAAGAACCAAACACCCCCACGTTCTGTTTTCGGGAAACGAGTACATGGCATTAGAAAAATTGCAGCAACACACCCTGTCGTCGCCTTGATCGATGTCCCTCACGTGTTCCTGCTCTGCTCGAGACAATCAAAAGTTGGCAGCTCCTTTGTTTCTTCTTCATATACCACTGTACTATAGCTATAGAGTATGAGTCTGTCTACTACACAACCATATGTTTTATATAGTTTCAACATATGATTTTTTTTATCATAGGATTAAGATCCAACAGCCTCCACCATTCTTCTACCTCCAACCTCCACAGATCACACATCATAGATCACATATCACAATTTTTTTCTATGGAAGGACAAATCACAGATCTACCGTCTGGTCTTAGTGGACCAGGTCTATGGGAGTGGAAAGGGAAAAGACAGAGTCAGTGACACGCAGGGCCCATGGGGTGAGGTGGCGCCTCCCCACTGGTTTGTGCGACGTGGCCAGGGGCACGGCATTGGAGCCATCGTGAACGCGTCGGTCGTCGTCCTCATTCCCATCCGCTCGGTCAACGAAGCGAGAAAGAGAAAGAGTGAGAGAGAGGAGGAAGGAGAGAGAGAGAGAGAGGGAGAGAGATAAAAAAAATCCATGTGTTTTTTTTTGCTAAAACACATGTGTGTTGTATAGCATTTCTGTTTTTATTTATTTATTTCCCTTGCCAATGAAGAAATCATTGCCAATGAAGAAATCATCTCTTTCAGAGATCTGTTAGTTGTTACTTGTTAGCAATACGGTGTTTCTCCCCTCCCATGCATGCCTGTTGATCCTATTTTCATTCCCCTCTCCTACACATTTTTTCATAGCCACAGTAACACGGTCCATCAATTGTTTTTTTTTTCTAGATACAGTGAAGTTGGAAGAGTGAGCATCTGCCTCCAAGTCTGATTCATCGTGTCCGACGATGGACAATAATTACCAAGACAGCATATGTCTTGACTTAGAGAAGGCGTTAGCTGATGAAAGTGTGGCTCCAATAGACCTACCTTTCTTGTTCCTCAAGGCCATCACACAAGGTTTCTCTGATGATCAACTTATCGGCGTCGGTGGCTTTGGATTTGTTTATAAGGTAAGTATATATACGTACCATGCAGGCAACTTGGCCCTAGCTCATGGGCACAAATTAAACTAAACAATAATGTTGTGAACTGTAGGGAGTGCTTCCAAATGGGATTATTGTCGCTGTGAAGAAGCTTCATGATAACAAGCTTATTGAGGTTCAAGAGAAGGATTTCCTGGACGAGGTTGACTGTCTCATAGAGGTGAAGCACAAAAAGATAGTACGGTTTCTAGGCTACAGTTACGAAACGCAGCATATGTTGTATCCGCATGAAGGAAGAAATGTCTGGGTAGACAAGCGGAACATGTTGTTTTGCTTTGAATTCCTAAGTAAAGGGAGTCTTGCCAACTACGTTACTGGTAAGATGAGCCATAAGTAAGAGCATTTCTGATAAGTAAAGAAGAAACAGCTCGTCGCATGACATAAATCAGAACTAATCATAGTTACCTTTTGTGTTGTGTTGTGTTGTGTGTGTATATATTCTTCACAGATGCATCTTCTGGACTTGAGTGGAGGGTTCGCTATCAAATAATTAAGGGGATTTGTGAGGGCGTGGCTCATCTTCACAAGCGGCGTATTATTCACATGGATCTCAAACCTGAAAATATAATGCTAGACGACACCATGGCGCCTAAGATTACAGATTTTGGTATATCGAGACGCTTCAGAGAAAACCAAACCAAGATTATTACTAGAAATATAGTTGGATCACCGTATGCTCTCTCTCTCTCTCTCTCTCTCTCTCTCTCTCTCTCTCTCTCTCTCTCTCTTGACATCCATTTGTATTGTGAGGCACCAACTAACTCTCTGGTGCATACTACTGTCCCGTTTGGCTGTTTATTCTCACTGCATTAATTTTTCATGCAGGGGATATATGGCACCAGAATTTTTAAGAAGCGGAACAATCTCATTTGGGACAGATATATATAGTCTTGGTGTTATAATCATACAGATTCTAACGGGGAGTAAGGAATGCCCCAATGTTAATATGGTAGTAATAATTTACATTCCTGTTTCAATATAATGGCTACATTTTTTTTTGCTTGGTGCTATTCATCACACTACTTGTGGGTTCGAAATCTGAATCAACCTATACATGTTCTATATAGCTAGATGTTTGTGTTCCCTATCTTAAAATTAAAGGCTCTCCCTGATATATATATATATATATATATATATATATATATATATATATATATATATATATATATATATATATATATATATATATACTTCTTAGTGCGCTTTTATTGTAACATTGGTAGGTGCTTGAAAGTTGGACGAACACATTTGGGACATCAAAGAGCAATCCACCACTAGAACAAGTAAAACTATGTGTTGAGATAGGGATAGATTGCATGCATGATGACCCAAGCAAAAGGCCTCACATACAAGATATTATCCGTAGGCTTAATGAAACAGTGCAGGTAGTATCATCAGCTTTCAGTTACATTAAATATACATGCCTGCTCCCACAAACTACCTATAATTGATTTATTGTGTCTTCATTTTTAGCTGGGTAGGTTCTACCAGTACTATCGACAGGCCAAACAAGCATGCAAGCCAATGCGAATTATTGCATCCATGGCGCCAGAGGTGAGTTTACATTTCTACAGCCAACCGTACAGGGGAGCAAAACATGCATGTGTAATATATATAAACCATAGTACCACCATGCATACAAATCTTCCCACGTTATATATGATTCAGTTTTTTTCAATCTGCTCATCATTTAATGTTGATTTGGCATTTTAATTTTGTCCATGCATGTATACAGAGAATTCATGGTAATTCCACTTCGTAATAGCTAATCTCTTTCCTTTTGTTTTGAAAATCAACAGTTAGCCAGATCTGTTTTATTCATGCTTGGCAGTGTTTCCCTTTTCTTTTTGCATGTAAACAGTCATACAATACAATGTCTATTCTTACCGAAAGCAGTTTTTTTCCATTTCTTTCCACCTTTTTATCTTGATATGATTTGTGTGCGTGTGTTGCATATAATGCCACTCTGAGCTCTCACTAGTCCGTGCACATATTCTGCTGTTGTAGCTACGTCCTTGTTGGTCAAGCGAGAGTGCGCTGCTGGATGTCCACCCTCTCGAGCTCTGCTTTCCCTTCGAGGCCAAAAAGGTTACACATTGCTCACTGAACTTAGTTAACAGGACACATCAATATTTTGCCTGTTTTATCAGACAGCAGTTCCAAGATATGTATGCTATCGACCAGCGCATCTCCTATTTGCGCCCAATGTCCACTGTTGTTTTAACTGTAAAGATGGTAAGGCAAGAGACACCGCCATTAGATGCGGGCATGTTTGAGATACTGATGATCTCCATGGAGAGCAAGGACCTTCAAAATCTGGAGTCATCCATTGACAATGATTCCCAAAAAAATGATGATGATTTATTGAAGCGAGTGGAAGAGTTGGATGGTGAGGTACATGCTGCCGTGTTGAAGGCTGTCATCTGCCCACCAAAGGATCCTGCCCCTAAGGTGAGTTTGTCATCCTGTCCTTTTCAAGATGACATGGTTGAAATAATGTTTCATGTTTCGTATCTATTTGGCATACTTATATTTGTTAACCACGAACACCTTAAGACCAGTCCAGGTGGGGGTTTCATGTCACTATTATTCAAGACTCATGTGTTGGAAACGGTGTAGACAAGTTTCATACCTATGAAACTCAGTTCATCCCATGAAACTTTTTTCATGTCTCTATTCATCAATACTATGCTACATCAGTTCATTTATTGCTCATGAAACACTCATGAAAACCCAATTGAGACTGGCCTAATTATATGGGGGAGCAATTTTAAGTAATTGTTTTCATTAATTGCTGGGCAACAACCAACAATGATTTGCATTAAATGTCTATGAGGAAGTAGACACATTATATTCCATCTCAAGAAGGTTATGCCAAGTTATATTCCCATCACATGTACCGAAACATTGGTTGACTCGACTAGATTCATCCATGTGTTATAATATATTAGGATATCTCTAGATATGGTATATTGTGATCATTTGTAATAAAATCTTATAACTTATCTGATGACAACATGAGTTCCCATCTGTTGGGGGAAGGTGCACCTTCTAGGCACCCCTTCTTTTCACTCTTTCCGCCTCCCTGACCTTTTCAACCTAGCGTGCGAAAGGAGACTAAGACCTCTTTAGACCCTCCTGCCGGATTGCATTTCAAAAGCAGCATTCCCATTCCGCCAGCTGTGCACGCTACGGAATTGCAGGCAGTCTTCTAGGATGGCGAAAGGAGAACAAGCAAGGAGGAGGCAGAATGGCAGCTGGCAGGCTGGAGGCTTAGGCACCCGTTAGAGACCGGCGAAGAGAAGCCTGCCTCAGCTGGTCCCTCCCCCACTTCCGCACGGGGCCAACGAACGAGGGCAGGCGTGGACCAGGGACGACTGTTCCCGGGGGAGTCAGTTTGAGTTAGGACCAAGCTGTACTGGATCGGGCAGGATATGATGCGAATCTAGGGCGGTTGAAGGGGTAGTTTAGTCTTTGGAAAGTCTATGGGCATGTATAAACATGGCCCAAAGGGTTGATGTAGAGGATGACGAATAAGAAGATTGCTATTGCAGCGAGCTATCATGTCATTCGTTTTCGTTTAATACTCCACCGTGGTTGTTGCCCGAACTTGTCATGGCCCCAAGGAAAGGAACGAAAGGAGGAAGTGACATAACCGAGACTTCGAAAGCAACAGAAGAAGCGGCCCCAGCAAAAGCAGTGGCCACATTAGCTGCGAACTCAACCGTCCTCCCTAGGGCGAATACCCCCCATCCCCCAGTTACCCGAATTGGCAGCGCTACAGATCACACATGACGAAGCAGTGCCACCAGTGGGGCGAGAAGACACCCTAGAAGGATTTGTACAAGATCTAGGAGTCTAGGAGAACGAAAATGAAGACGGCAAAATCCAGGACAAGAAATCCAAAGATTAGAGCGACAAAAAGAGCAGTTGCAGAAGTAGTGGCGAGAAACAGGGCTGAGCAGGTGAAAACTCCATAAGAGAAGCCGAACAGGAGCGAATTAATCTCAACAGAGACTTTGAGCAACTACATACAGAGGGCAAATGGCAAAAACGCCAAGCATGTTGGCATTGATGTCATTCAACCACAGCTCAAAAATCAAGGCGAAAACTTAGCAATATACGATCAAACCCCGCCATTATCTAGAGAGTTATAGCAACACCCTTGGCCACAGAATTATAAGCCTCTCATTCCCCCTTTCGACGTGCAGTCCAATCCTAGAAAATTAGTCAGCTCCGCCGGTGGAGACAACAAGGCCTTGGCGAAATCATTCATCATGGCGGTCGAAGGCATCGCCCATGACTTGTGTGCAGTGAGATGATGAGTCTCTATCCGACTATTAAAAAAAGTTCATCCAGCTCAAGGAGCAGGCTCCCAACGTTCCGAAAGCAGCGGTCATAGCAGTGGCCATCCAAGGCCTTGCCACCGGTTAGTGCGCATTATTCCTCGCTAGGTCGCTGCCAGTTACTGTGAGCGAATTGTTTTGAATCATGAACCAATACGCCAGATCAGACGTAGATTACAGAAGACAAAAAGCCACGCGTAGTTCAACAAGGCAAGCAACTAAAATGCCAAGACCATCCCAACCACAGCCCCAACGAAATGTGTGACCTTTTCGCTCAATAAACAATCAACAAGAAGAAGTGGGTCAGTGGGCCTCAGAACCAACATAGCTCGGTAACTCGTATTTCCACCAACATCGCAACTTTGACCAGACTCAGCGTGGCGGTAGAGGAGGCTGAGGCTTTCATTGTGGCCGTGAAGGGTGCGTAAGAGGTAGAGGTCAGAGAGTGCCTTACTATTTTGTGAGCGGCAAAAATGCCAAACATGTCACAAGAGAATGCAAATATAACAAAATGGCATGAGAACTCAAAGAGAAAGATGATGCCTCAAGGACTAGCTAAACCCCAAAGCATGTATACCACAATGCTCTTTGTGAAAGCATGCACACGCGGTCCTACAACCAACAATATTACCCCCCAAACAACAATCCAATCCATCAAGCCAACCTCGTACAAGGTTTCGCCCAACCATCATACGTCTGGCAGCACCCCGCATATACTCAGCTTACCAGCAATACGATCATTATCCAAGTCATTCATAGCAGTATCTTTGCCACTTCAGCCAAAGCAACAGCAATCAAGCCAACCATAGCCTGCCAAGCAAGAAAATGCACAAGAGCAGCAAACAATGAATAACATCCTTCCTTCGCATGGCCAAATATTCGCCATCATAGGCGGATGAAAACAAGAGCACGAGAGCAAGCGTGCAAGATGAGATTACGAGAGAAGAGTCCATATCGTTTTGCCAAGGCTACCAATGAATAGGCTAGCTGGTACCAAGTCCTAGTCACATTTGATGAATATGATTTCCATGTTCACGATTATCCTCACACCGATGCATTCGTAGTAGCGGCAAATGTAACAGGTACACTACATAACATTTTAATAGACACCGGCAGTTCCACAGACATCTTGTTCATGAAGCCTGTAGGGGACTGTGATGCCTAAGAGGGGAGGGTGAATTAGGCAACTTAAAATTCTGATTCTAACTCTTCAACTATGGCCTCTTTTTCTAACCTTAGCAAAACCTATGCAAAAGATAAACTATCTAAATGTGCAACTATGGTTTTGCTAGTGTGTTGCCATCTCTACCGCAAAAAGGAGTAATACAAACAATGTAAACACGGAAGCTAAAGAGCAAGATAGAGATATACAAACTCCTATCGACGACTTTGGTATTTTTACCGAAGTATCGAGAAGTGCGTAATCTTCCCCCTAGTCCTCGTTGGATCCCCTCGCAAGGGCCAATCTCTAGGTTGGGTAACTCCGTGGATAGCCTCAGGCCTTCCCCACTCGCAAGTGGGTCTCTGGTAAGCCTCTCCCGGACCACTCTCCACCATCTTCACTATCAAGCTTCTGGCCAAACCACCGCGGGCCTTGTTCCCTTCGGTACACGGTGGCGGCCACACAACAAACGCGGTTGGTGTGATCTTGCAAGACTACAAGCCCCTCTGATGTACAACAATGGTGCGCGCAAGCACTGAGTGGTAAGAGGTATGCAAACCTCACTAAACACTAGGCCTAAACCTGGAGCAAGTGCATAAGCGGTGGTCTAATCAACCTAAGCACTTCGCAAAGCACCTGAGCTAATCACCTAATAAAACACTAAGCACTATGCAAGTGGAGATCACTAAAGTGGTGTAGGAACACCCTTGATATGTTTCCTCAGCTCCACACAACTCAAATGGCCGGTTGGGGGCTCTATTTATAAGCCCCACTGAGAAAGTAGCCGTTGGGGACAAAATCCTGCTTTTCTACTACTGACCGGACGCTGCTGTCGTCCTGACCGGACGCGTCCGATTGTCCCGACCGTTAGGCGTGCGATTAACTGATCGGACGCTAATGGCGTCTGGTCACATGCCACCGGACGCGTTTGGTCGCAACTTCGCCACTCTGGAACCTCTCTAGAGTCGATCGGACGTTGCAGTTCCTGTGTCCGATCGATTTGCCGCCAGCGTCCGGTCAGTACTGAGTGTGTTGCTGGGATGATGAACAGTGCCATCAGTGCATCTGGTCACTTTCAGTACTCAGCATCCGGTCGCTGCTGCTGACGCCAAGCCTCTCGATCGGAGCGTCCGGTCGCTATGTCGACAGCGTCCGGTCACCTCTGTGAGCTTGTTTCTTCATGATCTTGCGTCCGGCTTGGTTCCTATCTTCGTGCTTGGACTTTGCTTGATATCTTGGGTCTTCTCTTGAGCTTCTAAGGTCTTGCTTATGGTGTTGATCATCGGATCATCACATTGCCTTCGTCCAAGTCACGTCTTGCACCCTATTGGACTACAAAACAATCACTTGCAAGTTCATTAGTCCAATTTAGTTGTGTTGGTCATCAAACACCAAAATCCAAAGTAAATGGGCCTAGGGTCCATTTTCCTTACAAAGCCCTTTGAGTCAATGGGTCTGGATAGACGAACAGTGGAACCAACTGGTAATCCTTTGCACAATTTTGGAGGGAAAAGATAGCAGCTATTGGAAAGAAAGTCACTCCAGAATCCTTCGCTAAAGGAGAAAGGGTGCGCACAGAAATGATAACATCGATATAGTCAACATGGACTACCCATACACCACTATATTTGGCAGAGGATTCACCAATAAGTTTGAAGTCACTATCAAGCAGAGCAGAATCAGGAGAGGATACCCAGAAGACGTTGTCAAAAATGGCGCTCGACAAATGTGTCCACATTGGTGCAGATTTGGCGCTCGCCAAAAAAAAGAGCTCATACTTTTCTTGCATGAGAATAGCGATGTTTTCGCCTAGTCAGCGAAAGATCTTCAAGGTGTCAGCTGGGAGCTATCACAACACTCCTTAAACATAAAAGCAAAAGCAAAGACGAGAAAGCATAAGCTCAAGAAAATGTCAAGCAAAAGACAGAAGCAACGAAAGCCGAAGTCCAAAGACTGCTCAACGCCGAAGTCATTAGGCCAATACAATACCCAGAATGACTGGCGAATGTAGTCATGCTTAAGAAGAAAAATGACAAATGGCGGATGTGTGTTGATTTCACTGACCTAAATAAGTGTTGCCCAAAAGATCCATACCCCTTGCCAAGAATTGGCAAGTTGGTCGACATAGCAGCCGGTTGCGAAATGATGACTCTCCTCGACTGTTTTTCCGGTTATCATCAAATCTAGTTAAACAGCGAGGATGAGGAGAAAACGAGTTTCATCACACCTAGAGGGACATATTGTTACCGGTGAATGGCAGAATGACTACAAATCACAGGGCCAACTTTCTCAAGAATGACAAATATGGTTTTAAGTGAGCAGAAAGGGTGAAATCTCCTCGCCTATGTTGGCGATATAGTTGTAAAAATTGACAAGAAACATACCCACATCGCAGACTTACAGTAAAATTTCATGAACCTAAGAAAAAGTGGCCTTAATCTCAACTTGGGCAAGTGCTTTTTCTGCATTC